CTTCGCGGATCTTTTGCTCTGGGAGCCTTTTGTGGCTAGAGGGCCCCATCACGCAGCCGTGCCTGGGTCACTTCATCCTACCACCGTGCCTTGGTCGCGGACAAGGGGCCTTGTTAAGGCCTCTCGGGTGCTTGTTGGGTGCCTCTTCAGGACCTTTTGAGCTCCCTGGGGGCCCGCTTGCGATCCAGTGGGCCGTATGTGTGTGTGTGTGTGGATGTGTGTATGCATACATGCAGTTCTCTGCGTGTCAATGCATATATAGGTGTAGATGATTTTGTGCATGCGTGCACTTATGCGTTTACGTGTGCATATAAGAGTGCATGTCTGTCTTCAGCTGCCTGCTGCAAACCACCCCTCCTCCTCCTCCTCCTCCTCCTCCTCCTCCTCCTCCACCCCGCCACTCTGCCTGGCGGTGGCGACCGTGCGAGACAGTCTTTGGCCGTCTTGCGGCTGTCGTGCGGGGGCTGTCGCGAGGCCGCGCCCAGTGCCGAATAGGAAGAACTATGCTGTGGACTGTGATGATGCGGAGGAGGATGAGCAGGAGGACGAACAAGTGGAAGAAAGGGAAGGATTCTGTAGCAAATCATGGGAGCCTGCAGTACCCTGTTGAATCCGTCTTTAGAGTCGAGTAGCGTCGACTAGCGTCTGGGAGTTGATGAGATAGCGCCGATTTAGCGTCGGTTCGCGTCGATTGGCGTCGATTTAGCGTCGAGTAGCGTCGAGTTAGCGTCGACTAGCGTCGATTCGCAAGAGCCGATGCTTTTGGAGGCCCCCATGAGTTGCCGCAGAAAGTGGAAGAGAGGGAAGGATGCCGTCCTGGCGCGGAGCCCCTCGGGGCTCGTGCCACTGGCGCAGACCCTTCGGGGCTCGTGCCAGATCATCCCGGAGCGTAAAGTACTCCGAGTGTCGTGCTACAAATCGTCCATGCGCAGAGCCACTTCAACAGCGCAAGCCTTCAATGGTACTGCGCCGCTGTGTCAAAACGGCCTTGGAAGAACAACGACACCGCCAGGCGGGTTCAAACTGCCATCATGCAACCGTATGTAGAGCCTCTGGGGAGTTTTCCAGGGGTCCGGGGTGGGTTTCGCGCCAGGAGCGGCCGGTATTGATTTCTTGACGTGTTCGGCGCAGTCAGTGGTGCGCGCGCTCGGCGCCGCCTTTTGCGCATGCTGCGGAAGGCCTCTTTCCACGAGGATATCCAGGATGTGAGTTCTACGTGGGAGGAGAATTGATGGGATCAGAATGATGATGATGCTGCTGGTGACGATGATGGTGATGGTTATGATGATGATGCTGATGGTGGTGATGGTGGTGATGGTGGTGATGATGATGCTGCTGATGCTGCTGCTGACAACGATGATGCTGATGATGATGCTGATGATGATGAGGATGATGCTGATGCTGATGCTGATGCTGATGCTGCTGCTGCTGATGATGATGCTGATGATGATGATGAGGAGGAGGAGGAGGCGGAAGAGGTGGAGGAGGTGGAGGAGGAGGCGGCGACGGCGGCGGCGGCGGGTCTGCGCATGGACTCCGTGCACCTGGTGTCAGGCAGAGCGATCGGGTCGTTGCCCGAACTTCTGAAGGCATTGGCCCCAGGCCTAGGGGAGCGGCCCCGACCGAGCGTGCCCGGCCAAGCACGCCAAGGCGAGCGGCGAGCACAGCCGATGCACCAGGCGCACCTCACGCCTACTCGTCGCCACCCATATCGAGGTTGAGCTCCTTGAAGAGGTCCTGGGCCTTCCTCGCCAGGGCTCCCCAGGGGGCCTGGCCAAAGTACTGTGTGCATTTCATGCCCCGGAGGTGCTGGATCACGAGATTCTCCAAAGCAACGTATTTTGGATGTGCACGAATGGAAATCTTCACTTGGTTGGAGTTAGGCATCTTCTGCAACTTGCAACATGGGACGGCTTCTGAGAGCTCGTCGCTTTCAGGCCCGCCTCTGGGATCACTGGTCGGCAGGTGGGCCGCAAGGAAGGTCCAGATCTTGTCGAGATCTCCTTGTCCGAGATGCTCTGACGTATTTGCCGCAATCAGCAACGTTATGACTGCAGGGGTCTGGGCCGCCCTCATCGTGACCACTCTTGCCCTTCGTGGGGTCGGCGTGGATCTTGTATGCCTTCTTGAATCCCTGCGCTGCCGAGCTATCTGCTGCAACCTGGAAGCGGATGAACGCGACTGCCATTAGCATGCGTACTTCATGCTTCGCCTGGAGGCACAACTTCATAAGGACGGACAGCAGCTCCCAGATCTTGTCCGCGTCGTCAGCGCTGCTGGCGCCCCGCTTCTTCCGCGGGGGTTCGGCGGCATTTCCGCCCAGGAAGGCATGTCCATGCCGCGTCTGCCATGCTACCTGTCGGGGAATCCCCCCAAGTCGATATGAGATGTGTTCGGCAAGTGAAAAACACCATCATCACACGTAAGTCGGCGCTCCCATTCTTCCTCGCCGTCCTCCCCCAATATTGGCCCGCCATCTGCTCTCTGCTCCTCTGGTTTG